GGCCGGAATTGGGGTGTGGATGAAATAAAGGGTTGGGACTCGGGCCCCAGATGGGACAGGGGCTGGGCCTGGAAAAGCAGTGGGGACATTGTAGTCTCCCTTTGAATTGGGCAGACATTGGAAATTCCATTGAACAAGAAAGGAGGAGACTGTAAAGTGTAAGACCTTTCAGTGACCCAGGCATTAGCCACCAGGGATTCGCTGTGCAGAGAGGGGAGGCCCCAGAAAAGCTGGCTATAATTCTTCTGAAAACTTTCCTGCAAGATCCTAGGATCTGAGAGCTTCTGAGGACTGGGCAGCTGTTTCGAGTTCTCGCCCATGTTCCAGAAGGGTTTTGGGGTTGTGGGGTCCTGCTCAGCATCCAATGATTTAACCAAATTCCCCAAAGAATTCAAGTGCTTTTCTGGGCTCATTTGTTTTGGAAATGATCCATCGTTTTCTTTTTCCTCCGAAATGTTGACTTGGGCTCTTTCTATGACTTGTATACCCATGACATTCTGGCCATCAGAGTTGAGTAAAAACGGGCTACCAGCTTCCATCTGACAGGTCTCTGGTGGGTGGCGGGAAAGATGATCTTGCTGGACTGATGAGTTGAAGACACACCAGGTTCTGGTAGTCTCCTGCCACCAGGAGAAGGCAGAAACTTGACTGTTTGAGCCGCCAAGGCCTGAGATAGCTGGGACAGAAGCCGTCAAATCCTTACACGGAGACAAGCTTTGAGGGACGGCGCCCAGTGGAAGTGCCACTGAGTCACAGTGAGATGGAATTATCAGAGTGGAGTCCCGCAGGGGAGGAGCAGGGAAAGCTTTCGGAGGAGACGGACTATCAGAGGTGTGTAGTGGGTGAGGGAAAAGTGCAGGTGGCTCAGGTGAGGGGCTTTCTGGGGGAAGGGAAGGTTCTGGTGCCTGGGAGGCACTTAGGGAGGAGACTGAGGTGGTCATTGGGCCTGGTGATGGGGTGGAGGCCAGATGCTTGGTTCGAGGATCTGGGGAAGCTAACGGGGAAAGCATGGGAGCAGTATCTTCCATAGGCTCATGAGAGGACCGGGAGTCTCCATCAGGTGCTCTTTTGCCCACCTCACCTGGGGGGTCTGGACCGGAGAGCTGACCAAAGTCACCTTTGTCAAGGAGCGGCCCCAGGAGGCTGCAGGAGACAGGAGGCACAAGCTGCAGCCAGGAGCAGGTGGGGCGGGGGGCAGAGTGGGAGCCCCTCCACCACCCCACATCCTGACTGCCCAATTCTCCTGCTACCCCTCGCCCCAAGGTTTTATTCCCATCCTCTGTCCCTGTGGTCTCCCCATCCCAGGTCAGCTCCAGGCTGCCTACGGCCCTGGGGTCACATCCCAGCCCTGGCAGGAAGGATGAAGGGAAGGGGAAGTGCCTCACCTCTGCAGTTGTGAAAACAGGTTCCAAAGCTCCTCCAGGCCTCTCAGGCGCGGTCTACAAGCTGGAAATCAGGAGACCGGGTTAGGGTGGTGCAGGAGGGGCCTGGGATCTCACAGGAGGATGAGTGCATGTTTCTTTAGGGAAGACCATGGGGAATTAGACCCTGGAACCCGCACATCTGTGTCCAGAGCCACATGGCCCCGAGGGTAATAGCAAGGCATGGCGGGCAGGGCTTTGTCATTCACAAAGGGCTTCCACACACGGACCCCCCCACCCCCACAGTCCTCACAACTGCCCTGTGGGGACAAAGGACTGGGGTGGTCTCAAAGAGGAATCAGCCTTAGCAGAGTTGAACAGCTGTTCCCAGGGGCCAGGAGGCCCCCTCACCCCCCTCCCATCCAGGCAGGCGTTGTTCTCCCCACTACACACACACTGCCCCCTGCTGGGTAAGGCCCAGTCCCTGGCCCACCAAGGCTTCATTCCGGCTCGGAATCTGAGAAGGACCCGGGGTTCTGATTTCC